CATATTGAAACATTCAAAAATAAAGTTATTTGTGTGAAAGCATATTGCTGATTATTGCCATATAATTCACTTAAGTTAATGGTGTTTGTGGTCACAGTTTCATTCGCGGATCCTCAGATATGACTGACTGAGCAATATTGACTAGCCTACAACTTGGATAAGATTCCTAAAAGTTTTGCACCTACAGCACACATTACAGACATTGATGCACAAACGCGGATATGTTCTACATGTCTACAGTATAAAGAATGAATAAACAAGTCTTATAAAGAAAAAACAGAAAACACAATGGCAAATTCGAAAACAAAATAACAAGTCAGAAAACACAACGACAAATCTGAAAACAAAATAACAAGTCAGAAAAAAACAACAACAAATCTGACAAACCGCTGACTGGACGAGACATCCGTCAATCAAGGTATACAGGAAGAACAGCAGAGTCCTGGTAGAAAGTTCGAGATGGTATTAAAGTAGCTCAGTTTAAATTTATTGTATGAATTGCCCTTACTATGGAATAAAAAATATGCATACATTTACAACACTGTACTCTGTATTATATTACCTTTGAATCAGAATACAAAAAACTAGTTAACGCTTTTGCGAGGGTGTTTCTAATACAGCGCCTGGGAGTGACGTAAATTTGACATAGTTCTCTCTTCTGACTGCCGTTATCAGTATCTCATTTTTTCTTCTTTTTATAAGTCGTGAAAATACGAATATGCATACATTTACAACACTGTACTCTGTATTATATTACCTTTGAATCAGAATACAAAAAGCTAGTTAACGCTATTGCGAGGGTGTTTCTAATACAGCGCCTGGGAGTGACGTAAATTTGACATAGTTCTCTCTTCTGACTGCCGTTATCAGTATCTCATTTTTTCTTCTTTTTATAAGTCGTGAAAATACGATTGTGGGTTTTTCTTTTGCTATTTGAGCAAATGGGGATGCAAAAAAAAAAAAAAAAAAAAAAAAAAAAAAAAAACAATATATAGGGGAGAATATAAATACAACACATTAAGAGTTGAACAGTCTTTTTATTAGGAAAATTAAAGGAATGGACCTTTTTCACATTTCCGGGTTTCTCAGCAGCGGAAGTCGTCGTAGTTGGGTTAACTTGAATAGCAGTGAATGGGAGAGTACCACAAATATATTTTTTTTGCATTCCCATTTGTTCAAATAGCAAAAGAAAAACTCCACGATAGTGTTTTCATTATTTTCAATAAAAGGAAAAAAAATTGAGAGAGACTGATATCGGCTGTCAGAAGAGAGAACGATGTCAAATTTACCGTCCCTCCCATAGACCGCTGCATTAGAAACACCCTCGCATTAAAAAGGGGAAAAAAAAAAAAAAAAAAAAAAAAAAAAAAAAAAACAATATATAGGGGAGAATATAAATACAACACATTAAGAGTTGAACAGTCTTTTTATTAGGAAAATTAAAGGAATGGACCTTTTTCACATTTCCGGGATTCTCAGCAGCGGAAGTCGTCGTAGTTGGGTTAACTTGAATAGCAGTGAATGGGAGAGTACCACAAATATATTTTTTTTGCATTCCCATTTGTTCAAATAGCAAAAGAAAAACTCCACGATAGTGTTTTCATTATTTTCAATAAAAGGAAAAAAAATTGAGAGAGACTGATATCGGCTGTCAGAAGAGAGAACGATGTCAAATTTACCGTCCCTCCCATAGACCGCTGCATTAGAAACACCCTCGCATTAGTGTTAACTGTTTTTTTGTATTTTGTG